TCCGTCCAGGTGCACCAAATGATCAAACAAGGAATGAGGAAGCCCACGTGTCTAAGGTGTGCTCTGTGAGAAAAAACTCAGGAGCTCAAAGAAACTGTCTGTGGAGGGTAGGGATATATGGGTCCATGTGGCAAAGTGCTCCCACACTCTCCTCACAATCTCACTCTCTAGAAAAACGTGGGTAAAGGTCTCGATCTTATGGCGTCCAGTCATAACAACACACACACCGAGAGGGGAAGGAGATCTCCTCGCGTGTAACACAGTATCCACGGGTATCAGGCACAAGAAAGGGCGCCAAAGGAATAATAAATGGTAGGGGTGAAAAGGTCGCTCCAGATGGCTCCGAAGAGAAGATTAGACCGATCTCTCAGCCTGATCTGTTCTCAAGCCGAGGTAGTAGAAAACACAACCGATGATGTAAGTATCCACCTCATGTCATCTGAACTGTCTCTCGAGATGGGTATCTGCTGGATCTGATCTAATAAATGCTCGCTAAAACCCACACCAGACCCCAACTCCCTATCAAGCTTTCCCCTATCCCATGACCCATCCGTCCAAAGGTCACTCACAAGCAGGTAGGGGGAAATGCGTCACTTGCCTATCCTTAGAAAACGGCCTATCACCTAACCACCACTCATCCGAGAAACTAACCTCGCCCTCACCCAAAACCCAGAAGATGTGATCCTGGACACCTACCGACCCTAGTGAGGCGCCGCCACTGTCTACTATCATGATCAACCGCCGTCATCCAACAAGGGTGGTTGGCACGTCTAGGGCAGTACTTGCCGCGAAGGTACTGAGCCCAAAGCGACATTCCCACCTTGAAGCGCCACCACAGTTTGTAGGAGAAAGCTGTAACAATATCCCTGAGGTGGCGGATGCCAAAGCCACCCTTAGAGAAGGGGCGGCAAATAGAGTCCCAACTCACCCAGTGGGTACGTATCCCCCCGTGGGAGTCCTCGTAACCCCAGAAATAACGAGCCATAATCTGGTCAATCTCGTCAAGAGTAGACCTAAGGGAGTCAAGGACCATAAGTAAATGAAGCGGAAGGAGCTAAGGGTGCTCTTGATCAGCGCAAGCCGACCACCGAAAAAAAGATGTCTATGCAACTAACTACAAATCCTGTCACTCATCCTTTGCCTGATGTCCGCAAAGAGCGCTCTCGTGAGGTTGTCCTTATATAAAGGGACACCAAGATAGGTAATGGGAAGGTCGCCGCGCGCAAAGCCAGTAATCTCGCTGACCCGCTGGTAATCTCGGTGACCTTCCCATTACCTACCTTGGAGTCCCTTTATATAAGGGCAACCTCATGAGAGCGCTCTTTGCGGACATCAGGCAGAGGATGATAGATATGATTTCTGGTTGGTCGCATAGACATCTATCTTTCGGTGGTTGACTTGCGCTGATCAAGAGCACTCTTAGCTCCCTTCCGCTTCATTTACTTATGGTCCTTGACCCCCCTAGGTCTACTCTTGACGAGATCGACCAGATTATGGCTCGTTATTTCTGGGGTTACAAGGACGATTTCGGGAGGGGAAAACGTACCCACTGGGTGAGTTGGGACTCTATCTGTCGCCCTTTCTCTGATGGTGACCTTGCCATCCGCCGCATTAGGGATATTGTTACAGCTTTCTCCTACAAGTTGTGGTGGCGCTTCGGGAGGGATAGTCGTTTTAAGCTCAGTACCTTCGCGGCAAGTACTGCCCTAGACGTGCCAATCACCCTTGTTGGGTGACGGCGGTTGATCATAATAACAGACAGTGGCGGCGCCTCACTAGGGTCGGTAGGCGCGCCCAGGATCACATTTTTTGGGTTTTGTGTGAGGGCGAGGTTAGTTTTTGGAATGAGTGGTGGTTAGGTGATATGCCGTTGTCTAGGGATAGGTTGGTGACGCATTCCCCTACCTGCTTGTGAGTGACCTTTGGACGGACGTGTCGTGGGATAGGGGGAAGCTTGATAGGGAGTTGGGCTCTAGTGCGGGTTTTAGCGAGCATTTATTAGATCAGATACCCATCTCGGGGGACGGTTCAGATGGCATGAGGTGGAGACTTACATCATCGAGTGTGTTTTCTACTACCTCGGCTTGGGAGCAGATCAGGCTGAGAGATTGGCCTAATATTCTCTTCGGAACGATCTTTTCACCCCTACCATTTTGGTGTTCCTTTGCCGCCTCCTCTTGCGCCGGATAACCGTGGATATTGTGTTACACGCGAGAGGGATCTCCTTCCCCTCTCGGTGTGTGTTGTTCTGAGACTGGACGCCATGAGATCGAGATCTTTACTCACCTTTATCTAGAGAGTGAGATTGTGAGGAGAGTGTGGGAGCACTTTGCCACCTAAACCCATATATCCTTACCCACCACAGACAGTTTCTTTGATCTCTTTAGTTTCTTCTCGCAGAGCACACACCTTAGACACATGGGCTTCCTCATTCCTTGTCTGATCTTTTGGTTCACCTGGACAGATAGGAATAGTGCGAAGCATAGGGATATTACTTTCTTGCTCTCTCACATTGTTTTGAAGGTAGAGAGACACCTTTCACTCCTCACAGCTTTGGGTAGGCTCACGGCCCGAGACTAGACAGGCTGCACGCCACCACACCGCTACATGGTGGCTCCCCCACCGCCTGTTCGGCCCTCTCGGCCCAGAGCTGTTGTTTGGCTTCGACCTGGCTCTCCTTGGGTCAAGCTGAACACTGATGGTTCTTTTGATCGCCACACCGGAGCTGTCGGAGGAGGAGACTTGATTCGGGACCACAGCCGTCCTCATCACCGCCTTCCACACGCCCCTTCAGGCCTCCTCGAGGCTCGAGCTACGATGCAGAGATTCAGGCATTACAGATTGACCTTCAGATTGCTGTCCACCTTTCTAGTCATATGTGGATCGAGCTGGACGTTGCGGCTGTCGCCACCCTCCTGATGTCGGGCACCAGGGCTCGTGGCAGATTCAACACTCGCTTATGCGCATTAGAGCTCTACTTCGGCCTGTCTAATACAAGATCACGCACATTTTCCGTGAGGGGAACAGACCTGCTGATTACCTTGTTAGCCTTGGCGCCACCATACCATACCCGTAGATGTTTCAGACCGACACTGCTCCACTCCGCTTGTACGAATGGACCAACTTGGATACCCATCATTCCGCTTTCAGTAAATTAGGTTTATTGCTCTCATTAGATTAGTCTTTTATTTCGGGTACCTGTTAGCTCGAAGACAGACTTCGTATTGTTTTTTCTTTTGTTTTTGTTTTGCTAGTGAGACTCTGTAGTCCGTTGATATTTTGGGCCCCGGTTTGGGGTCTAGATATACGAACAGGTTGGGGATCTTGCCCAATCCTCTGCCCTTCCGGGGTGTTGTTATAAAAAAAAAAAAAAACCTAACAACTATAGAGAACTAACCTAGCAACTTACATAAAACTAACCTAGCAACTACTAACCCAGCAACTACAGAGAACTAATCTAACAACTACAGACAA